CAGAATTCCCCAGCCAGCCAAATTCTGGGAGTTGAAGTCCACTCATCTTAAAGTGGCCAAGTTTGGATAACACTGCTCTAAAAGATGCATATAGAAAACAGCCACCAGACCGGATGCTGATGGGTAAGCAATCCTGTCAAGAAAAGGAGTTCCAATATACAAAATTGTTTGTGGCCATAATTAAATGCTTAACACCACTAGTTTACAGGGGCTGTGACATCTGGAACCTGTCAATTCTTAGGATTTTAATTCAAGGAAAAGAAACAAAGGTGCTTTCACAAAATATGTATGCACTCCAGAACAGCCCTAATTCTGTCAATATTCTAGGTGCCCTCAGGAGGATGTCAAATAATTCAGTAAAATAAAGTTCAGAAAATGCAATCAATTCATAATTGCCTAGTTCTCGGAGGTTGGTCCATCCATCTATAGTACACCACCTTCAACTCACACCAGTCTGACTGCACGCCCAATTCTAACTAATTGATTTAATTTTCAAAACCATAAGCAATCTAGGGACAGAGTCAAAATCACCTTATTTATGTATTTTAAAATATTTCTATTCCAGTTGTTCCTCCTCCTCCTACATAAAGCTGCCCAGACACTTCAGCCCATTTCAGAACTGGAATTTGCTATCAATATAAATCAGATTTATTTTATTTTCGCTGTGGACAGCACTCTAACAAGTTCATGTCCAAAGCAGGGAATCATAATTATTATTGTTTTTTAACAAAAAAGACAAGATGGCTAGGGGTTTTGGCTCAAATGCCCAGGCTCAGAACAGGTAACACTTTCCAGCACCTCCTAGAATGATCACATGAAGCTGTGTGGTGACCCAATCATTCCAGATAGTGCACGGTACTGCCAAGTGTAGAGCCCTACCTGCTGTGAGCTTACCAGAGTTTTCTTTTTCCTGTCAGAAGAAAGAAAAGCTAAGAGTCGTGCATTTTCAGAAGTGAGATAGATTTTTTTTCCCCCTTGGGAAGAATGAACTTGCATACCTCACTTCTATTAGAATCATTCCTCCCATGGATCTGCTGAAAGTTAGAACAGAACAAAACAAAACGACACAAAATACCAAATTCACTCCCAGCAGCACACTATTCCAGAAACCACACACTGTGTCTCGTGACCTCAGAAGTGTGGTAAGTGGACAGGAAAGACAAGGAAGTCTCTTCTGTTATAGCACAGAGAAAACTGCTCAGTGAATGTTTGGGTGTGCTGTATTTACACAAAGTTCACTATTCTTTTTTAAATGGACTGTATTGTTTATAATTCTTTAATTTAAGCCAGCTTTCTCCAATCTAGTCTGGTCTACAGTGCTTTTAGAACCATTGGTTGGGCTTACAATGTGGGTCTGTTTACTATTTTCTTTCCCCTTATTTTACCCCCAGCTCTTCCTTAATATCTGCTAACTTGGATTTTTGTCTGGTCCCTCTGTATTCCTGTACCTACTTCAGTTTTGCTGCACTCATCACATATTCATAATAGTCCCCTCTGTTTTCTCTTCCCCTACTGATAGATTGTATGATTCCAATAGAAGACAATATATGTAGCTCAGGTTGAACTGTAGAGTTCTTCGTGCTGGTTGTTTGCTTGCAGACATTTCATTACCTGACCAGCTAACATCATCAGTGCAAATGACTGTGGGGTTTGCTCCTTGTTTATATGTAGTAGCGCCCCTTGCCAGTGTTGGTGGGGGTATGGTTTTCTTCTTGGTAGTTCCTTGATTAGGGTATTGTTTTCTGCTTCTCTGGTGTTAATCCTTGCTTATTTGGGTACTGGCTACTGGCAGGACGTGTTTTGGTCTTTTTGTTTCCTTCTTA